GACACTGACAGGGGGATGTGGGAGCAGAACGGCTGAACTAGAACCTGGGTTTTCTCATCTCGAAATCAGTTCCCTTTCTCCTCCAACAGCATCATCAGTGTAATGTTACAATGTTTTCAGCATGTTTCTCCGGCAACAGTTTTGTGAGTTGCCGGTCTATTATTAAGTGAGGCAACCTAACAACCATGTGACCGATCACACACTCACTGATACCACAGTCAACGACAAAGATCTGAACAGCTCTGCACTGTATATACATCAGTCTCAAAGTCTAAAAAGTCCACATTTTGCAAATATCATCTACTGAAGTGAAACGTCACACCTCAGCATCTAACTCATTAGTTCTTTTAAAAAGATAGTATTTCAGAGTTTTGTTTTGGTATTTTTACATTAATTTCAATGCTTTTTTTAAAAAAATTTTTTATTGTGCTTTAGGTGAAAGTTTACAGGGCAAATTAGTTTCTCATTCAAAACCTTATACACAAATTATTTTGTGACATTGGTTGCAATCCCCGCAATGTGTCAGCACTCTCCGCCTTTCCCTTTCCACCTGGTTTTGCTGGGTTCATTCGTCAATTTTTCCTGTCCTTTCCTACCTTCTCATCTTTGCTTTTGGGCAGGTGTTGCCCATTTTGTCTTGTAGACTTGATTGATCTAAGAAGCACATTCCTCACAGGTATTATTGTTGGTTTTATAGGCCTGTCTAATATTTGGCTGAAAGGTGAACTTTGGGAGTGGCTTCAGTTCTGAGTTAAAAGGGTGTCTGGGGGTACTTCTGAGTTTTTAAATGGGTTGCTTCTTCTCAACTTGGGAGTACTGAGAAAAAGAGCCACAGTTTTAGGTATACATTCATCTAAGCTATCTCTCCAGCATATATACACATCTGTGCCTCAAACAAAAAAGATATCTTTCAAGTTTAACAATTATACATATTTTGAAAATCAAATACTTATATAGTTTTATTTTCTAAGACCTCTTGTGGTGTAAAAAACGTACAGGAACTTCTTCTGGCAGTAACTTTAGCATGCATCAGCTCAGTGTCAGTTTTTGCAATGCATGATCCTGATGCACGCGAGGAATAACAAGAATGGCTAACATTTATTGTTTACATGTGCCACACTGTTCTTAACAACTTACATATATTAACTCAGTTTTAAAACAACCCTATGAAGAAAGTATTATTATTTATTGCCACTTCAGAAGAGAAAATTGAAGCATGGGTAGGACATGTGAACTCATGCTCTGGAAAATAAAAATATGGAATATATTATTTCACAGCATCAATATCAATTATAAACCCAAAAAAAACAAACTCATCACTGTTGAGTCGATTTCTACTCATAGCAACCTTACAGGACAGAGTAGAACTCCTCCATAGGGTTACCAAGGGTATAAATCTTTACAGACTTGGACTGCCACATCTTTCTCCTTCAGAGTGGCTGGTAGGTTTGAACCGCTGACCTTTTGGTTAGCAGCTGAGTGCTTAACCACTGCACCACGAGGGCTCCTATTGCATCACCACAGCACTTATAAATATCTGACATTATATTAACTGTTTATTTCTTTATTGCTTATTTTTCCCAATTAGAGTATAGCTCATCGAAGGCAGGGACGTTTACTGTTTTGTTCACTGCTCTATTACCTGCAGCGACAACAGCGAATACATGGAAGGGCTCAGTAAATACTTTGTTGCCATTGAGTCAATTCCGACTCCTAGCAACCTTATAGGACAGAGTACAACTGCCACATAGGGTTTCCCAGGCTATAAATTTTTACAGGAGCAGACTGCCACATCTTTCTCCTTCAGAGTGGCTGGTAGGTTTGAACTGCTGACCTTTTGGTTAGCAGCTGAGCTCTAAGCCACAGTAAAAGAGTACATGTTGTTGCTGGGTGCTATCAAGTCGATTCAAACCCATAGCGACCCTATAGGGTTTCCTAGGCTGTAATAGATTGTTTGAATTTAAAATAATCACAAAAACAATAGTATAACTTAAATGATATGCATGTATGTGTGCTTATATGTGTGTGTGTACATGTATGTGTGCATGTACAGATGCACATATATATTTAAAATGTTTACTAGAACAAATTCACTTTAGTTTTTTCTAAATTCGGGACTTCATTTTAAGAAATATTATATACCTTGTAGGTTACCCTTAAAATGCAATCTGTCTATTTGCAGATTAAAGAGTTTGGGAGTTTCAGGACTAGGAATCGCAAGGCAGCTGAGACTGTGCTCGCAATGAAACCAGTTCTCCTTCCTACTATGTGTGCAGGTTAAAACTGCACTAAGTTACACAGACGTCAACTCTCCTTCCATAAACTGTCGTCCAGTTTGTCCATCATGATCACAGAAATTGGGCTTGTTGGAACAACCACTTGTACTTCTGAAAAGGACACACTGAGCAGGTTTTAATCACTGAACTGCATGCTGTTTACAACACTAGCTCTATACAGCAGCAAGGAAATGGAGTAAACCCACTTAGGGTTGATAAACACAGGTGTGGACACTCCTACCCATGGCTTTGAAAAAAATTTTCTTTAATTTAATACTCTCTCTGGCAATTTATAATCCCTGCTTAAGAGCTCCAGGGGCTATGAAACAGAGGATGCACCAGAACCTATTTTTCCAGGCTTCCTGTACAGCCTGCGAAGGGACTCATGGGTGCTACGCAAGGTACCATCATCTATTTTATTATTATGAGATTGACCATTAATTAGGAATTGGAGAAGAGAAGGTGTTATGGGACTGGTTTTAAGTTTCCTTTTAAAAAAAAAAAAAAAAAAACAGGGCCACGTTGTAAAACTTCACTCTGACGACCATGTTTCCTGAAAGCTTAAGGCACTCAGAACATCACACGCTCCGGGTGAC